TGCCCCTGCCTGTGAGTGGCGCCGAAGCTTGTCCCTGCTGGCAACCCTGTGTCCCCGTGGCTCCTGTGGGGCCTGGGTGGGCTGGGCCCGGCTTCTGCCGCATTTTGGGAGCTCCCTTCCCCCGCCTAAGGCCGCAGGGCACTGACCTCATTGTAATAGGGGCAGTTCGTGGACTCCTTCATGGACGTGTACTTCTTGTCGTCGCCCACCTCCACGCACACCACGGGGTCCATGTTCAAGCCCACCAGCTGCCGAGCCTCAATCACCGTGATGCTGACCTGCAGGCAGAAGGAGGAAGATGGGCTGCAGGAGCCCTGAGCCTGGTCCTGCCGTAGCCGGGGCCGCGCAGGGCTGGAGGCCCAGTGAGCGGGGCTCCTCTCTCAGCACACCTCCAACTCTCTGGGCGATCCTGGGCTGCGTCCTCTCTAGCCCGGGCTCCTCACTCACATGGGACGAGGGCTGGGTAACCTCTGAGGCGGAGCTCACTGGACTGTCTAAGGGATGAGGGAGGAGTGGGGTCGGGACGTTGAACTCACTTCACAGGCTTCTTCAGGAATTAAGCTTTTTTTTTTTTTTTTTTTTTTTGCCTTCTTAGTTTGATATAGAGTACACGTGTGTTTGCTAGAGACACAGAGAAAGTGCAAATGGCTGCAATCCCTTCTCCATACTCCCTTTGGGATTTCGGACGCACACACATGTGGCGGCATGATTCTCAAGAGGCCGGGTCCAGGACTCAAACTGCACAGCTGACCACGTAGGATCTAGTCTCGTAACCTCCATGCCGCGTGCTGGCCCTAAATTAAGCCTTTTTGGTCTTCATTAGCTTGCATCTAAACCCCGCTCCAGGCTTCTTCATCAAGCCCCAGGCCTCTCTACTTCTTTGTGTTTCTCTGGTTTGGCCCCCTCCACATCCCCGCCCTGCTCCGTTTGTTTACAGTGAGGCTGTGGTGCCCACCTGTCCGACTTCTCTGACTCCGGGTTGCATGTCGTGTGCATTTTACTGCATCCTTGCAGTGGCATCCAGCCCCCTGTACTCTTTTTTTTTTTTTTTTTTAAATGATTATTTTATTGAATTTTATTCATTATCATTATTATTTTAAATTTGCTACAGGGCACATGCCCTCACCAGAGAGAGACAGAGAGAGAGGGAAAGTGAGAAAGCAAGCTGCCAGGTTCGGGACTCCAACCACAGTCGGCCACGTGAGAGTTCAGCACCTTAACCACCACATCACCTCCTGGCTCCCTGGAATCTTAACTGCTATTCTGAGAGTGCTTTTTCCTGTTAGTCGACAATTATTTCCTGAGCTCCTACTGGGACCAGGAACAGGTTGGTTTGAAACAAACTCCATCCCCTTATAAAGTTTTTGTAAATGATTATTGGCTTATAGGTTTTAAGCTAAATAGCTAAAAAGGTAAAAGAGAAAGAGGTGTGTAATTTTTTTGGGGGGGAGAGGTTTTTGCTATAGGGCGCGTGTGCTCGCCAGACAGAGAGAGAGAGAGACAGAGAGACAGACAGAAAGCGAGAAATCACCCCCCAGGGGGGATGGCCACGCCGCGATCCCTTCTCCTCCATTCTCCTCTCGGGATCTTGGGCACGCACGCACGCATGCACACACACGCACCTGGCGTGAGTTTTAAGTCACCGGGTCCGGGACGCGAACCACGGTCGACTATGTGGGAGTCCAGTGACATAGCCATTACACCAACTGCTGGTCCCAATTTCTTTTTAGAGAGATATTTTTGCTATAGGGTGTGTGCGCTTGCTAGAGAGACAGAAAGACAGAAAGTGAGAAATCACTCCCCTTGGGGGAAGGCTGTGCCTCAATCCCTTCTCCTCCATTCTCCTCTCAGGATTTTGGGCACTCACACATAAGTGCCTGGTATGAGTTTTAAGCCACTGGGTCCAGGACTTGAACCACGGTCGACAACGTGGGAGTCCAGAGATGTAACCATTACACCATCTGCTGGTCCAAAGGTGTGTGTAATTTTTAATGTAAATTTCTACTTTTCCTAAACCCTCATTTTTATTTTTAGAGAGATTTTGGCTATAGGTTGTGTGTACTCACGGAGAGACAGAGAGATGAAAAGCAAGAAAACATCCCCCAGGGAGATGGCCACATGGCAATCCCTTCTCCTCCATTCTCTTCTTAGGATCTTGGGCACGCACGCACGCATGCCTGGCATGAGTTTTAAGCTGCCAGGTCTGGGATGCGAACTGTGGTTGACTATGTGGGAGTCCAGTGATGTAACCATTACGCTATCTGCTGGACCCCTAAACTCTCATTTTAAGTGATCATTTCTCACTTGGGACTTGGAAATGGCAGTCGCTATTAGGGTAGCCATGATGGAATACGAAGAGGCACAGAATTGGGGTTGCCGGGTTTGGCATGCAGCCCTGCAGTGACACTTCACCAGGCGTGAGTGCAGGTGACCAGGCAGGCTTACTGAGCGAGGAGAGAGACTCCATCTACCCTGAAGGCTGGGTGAGGGTCAGTGAAATAACGAGTGTCAAAGCTCTTTGTAAAGGGGGCAGTGGTAAAACGGATGCTCTGCGGCCCTGACAGACTGACCACATGGGAAGGGTCCAGATTCACAGATCACAGCCCAGGCTGGCTGGAGCTGAAGATGGATTGTGGTGGCAGGACCTGGTTGGGAGCGCTATCCTCTATCTTTTTCTCTCCCTGTCTTTCTTACAGTGATTTTTTTCTTTTTTTTTTCTCAAGAGATTTTTGCTCTGGAGTGCGTGCATTTGCCAGAGACACAGAGAAAGACAGAGAGACAGGAAGTGAGAAAGCAGGGGAGATGGCCATGTTGCAATCCCTTCTCTGTTTTCCTCTTGGGATTTTAGGCATGCACGCACGCGTGCCCAGCAAGAGCTGCAAACTGCTGGGTCTGGAACTCAAACTTGCAGGAAGCTCTGTGAAATGTGAGTTATTGTTAGGAAAGTCTTAGGACCTACTCCAGCTAAAGTGGCTGGTCTCTCAAGCAGTAGCGAGGTCGTCTGTAATGTTTCGGATCATCCCACTTGGCTCTCTTAAACTTGCACTTTACGAAAGAGCCTATGCTCAGCCAGCACTGGCATTTGCCTCCGTGCATTCTTCTAACGAAACCATTAAAGGTTGCTCACTCTGCTGCTCCCCTCGGACACTGGGTGTTTTAGCTTCTGTGCTTTGATGCAATTTCTAAATATGATGTTACTCGAGAGACTTATTTTCCCTTTTCATAAAAAAAGAAACTACTAAAAGAATCATCCACGGTGTCTGTCAAGGCCCTTATAAATATTTTGAAAGCCAAGAAAAACCCACACATCAGAAGCAATAATGTTAAAAAAAAAAAAAAAAATCCCAGAAACTCCAAGGCCAGTGAGAACATTGCCAGGAAGACATAAAAACGGGAAATTGCATATTTACTAGTGGAAGCCACGCTTGGACTGTGAAAGCAAACATTGCTATTTGGGACTTGAAATGCCAAAGAGACTGATGTGGAAGCTCCGAATCTGGAGCTTCAGAGAGGCTCAATAATCAGCATTTCTTCAGGGAGCTAAAAAGGAAGTCGGGCTGATTAACTTAGCTCTGAGTTTACTGGGAAGAGAGGAAATAGACACTAGAGGTCCTTCCAGAATATTCTTTGATAGTACTGGGTTGTTGGAAAAGTCATAATGTGTTTTTTCTATGCAAAAATGTGTCACGACTTTTCTGACAACCCAGTGGTTTATAATGCTTTCATTTCTATGAATCTTTTTATGCTAGAGGTTTTTTGAAAATCCAATGTTTTGCTTCATCCCCTGCCAAACTCAAGACTGGAAAGTCGACAGGCACAGTTTTGGCTTATCCCATGCCAGCAGGAGACTGACCTTCTCAATGCCAAGAGGGTGTTCGGGTTTCCTGTTTTCCATCTTGGGGTCTGGCCATAATGGTAGCCTTCCTGCCCCCTCCCTGTTTCCAGGATTCCTTATTTTTTTTTTTTTTTTTTTTTTTTCCTTTTTTTTTTTTTTTGAGAGGTTTTCGCTATAGGGCGCATGCGCGCGCCAGACAGACAGAGAGAGACATAGAGACAGAAAGCGAGAAAGCACCCCCCAGGGGGGATGGTCATGCCGCAATCCCTTCTCCTCCATTCTCCTCTCGGGATCTTGGGCACGCACGCACACGCGCCCGGCGTGAGTTTTAAGCCACCGGGTCTGGGACTCAAACCGCAGTCAACTATGGGGGAGTCCAGCGACATCGCCATTACGCTAACTGCTGGTTCCCTGTTTCCAGGATTCCTTTTTTTTTTTTTTTGAGAGGTTTTCGCTATAGGGCGCATGCGCGCGCCAGACAGACAGAGAGAGACATAGAGACAGAAAGCGAGAAAGCACCCCCCAGGGGGGATGGTCATGCCGCAATCCCTTCTCCTCCATTCTCCTCTCGGGATCTTGGGCACGCACGCACACGCGCCCGGCGTGAGTTTTAAGCCACCGGGTCTGGGACTCAAACCGCAGTCAACTATGGGGGAGTCCAGCGACATCGCCATTACGCTAACTGCTGGTTCCCTGTTTCCAGGATTCTTAAGTGTCCACCTTCCCCGTGGAGCAGGCGGCCAGCAGATGTCACAGTGGTGACCATCTGGATGGAGCTCTGGCTCTAAGGTCGGAGGGAGGGTGGGAAGGAGAGCAGAGGACCCAAAGGAGCAAGGAGGGAAGACAGACTCCAGAGGTGCTCTCTGTTGGTTGAGGGACACCCCAAGAGGAAGTCTGAGAATGCAAGAGAAAGGCTGAAGCCCTGCATGGTGTTGGGGTGTGGAATACTATTCCTGCGCCCCCCCCCCCACCACCACCTGGGGCTCTGTAAAGAGGAAACGCATCACTTGAAATAGTAATAATAAGAATAAGTCATTTTCAGGTTTCCGAGGGAGCAGGCTGACCATCCTTTTCTCCACTCATCAGCAGAGGACTCGGTTTTTCCAGGATGGAAAATGAGGAGGCAAACGGAGCCAGACTGGGACCAACTGGCCAGCTGACTCTTGGTCATCGCTGATTCCACTGTTGCTTTCTGAGATAAGAGACCTAATCCCCAAGCGGCTTCATGAAAGCCACTGCCAGGAACAATGCTGACAGGTAAATCTATACCCCCCGCCCCCGGGAGACCCGAGGATAATGGTGCTTGGTGACCTGCTCCCAAGGGATCTGATGATGCTTTGAGGACATCAGCTGGGAGCTAGCGGTGAGAGCGGGTGGACCCTCTGGGCCTGCTCTTCCATGACATCCTTTATCTGCCCTCCTCCCCGGGTGGCCACGGTGTGACATGACCAGACCCACATTTTGAGCAGATCACAGCTGGAATAGAGGATGGAGTGAGAGAGGCAGTACGAGGGCAGGGAGACCAAGCAGGGAGTAGGTACTATAGTCAGGCGAGGCTGTCGGCCTCTAGTCAGTGGCCCAGGAGATGAAATGCAGGTAAAACTGGAACTGAAAATGTCCAAAGTGAACACATGAAGTCTCAGTGCAGGAAGAGACGGTAGGAAAGAGATTCGAGACTCCATGACCCACCAGGGGCACCTCTGCCAGGCGCCACGCATTGCTCACGGTGGTGGGGAAATGACACATTCGCAGGGAGGTGACTGTGGCTTCTCGCCCTTTCCCCTACTTCCTTTTATGAGAGAGAGGAAGGGAGAGAGAAAGAGAACGAGAAAGGGAGAGAGACTGAGAGAGGCATTTTGGGCAGAGCCTTGCCGTGCCGTGATCTTCCTGCCTGACTTCTCGATTAGCCCGGATTGCAGGCACAGGTAACCATGCTGGCGTGTTCAGGTTAGCCTGGCTGTTGGACCCAGGGCCTCCCGTGCAGCTTCCAGCTTCCCAGGCAGTGGTGTATCTGCGCCACTGCAGCCAGGCCAGCTTCTTGCCTGTGAGATGCCAGTAATTAGGAAAGGGCTTCCAGATCGTGTCCATTCTGAGTGGGAGGAACAAGGGGGGATGGGCACACACGGTCTTTGCACTTCCAGGTCCCCTTTCGGTGCTGTTCACCCTTGAGGATGGGTCCAAGCACTTGGGATTCTTCTTGGACCGAGTGAAGAAGACCTCCTTCCTCTCGCCAGCTGGGTGTGCTCAACGAAGTCTTTCTAACTGATCAAAGCCAAGTTCTCCAAGAGAGTGAAGTCCCTTCTGGTTGTATTGCTTTATACATGGTAGTTATTGGAAGCAAAAGCAATTTCACATTTGCATCCTCTTAGCTTACCCTCAAAGTGTGTTAATAGTTGCAGTTGGGCTCCGAATGAACCCGGCAGGAAAAACTGAGCTCTCAGCTTAAATACAACAGCCGTCTTGTTCAGTTCAGAGGGTTGAAAATGTCTTTGGAGGGAAAATGTTTGGCCCAGTTAATAAATGTTTCTGGCAGGAAGCTTTTGAAAACAGTCAGGAGTAAGCTAACGATGACTCAGGGACCAGAAGGCTCAATTACAGAGAAATCAGTCTCGCTGACTGCTGTAGTCAGAGACCCTTGGGTATGACTCCGGCTCCAGCCCTGACCAGCTGGAAGACCTGGGGTAAGCGCCTTAACTTCCTCAGCTTCTTACAAGATGCAGTCATTCCCATTTGTGGGTCATTGTGAAAATTTCACTAACTTACATGGAAACATGCTCACAGATGGTTCCTATGCCAGTGCCTGGCATATACCAACCTTCAAATCTAAGTTACATTAATAGCCATGACTCTGTTTTATTTTTATTTTTATTTTTTGAGGGGTTTTTGTTATAGGGTGTATGTACTCGCCAGAAAGACAGAGAGAGACAGAGAGACAGAAAGTGAGAAATCACCCCCCGGAGGGATGACCACACTGCAATCCCTTCTCCTCTCTTCTCCTCTCGGGATCTTGGGCATGAATGTGCATGTGCCTGGCGTGAGTTTAAGTCACCGGGTCTGGGCCTCGAACAGCAGTCGACTACATGGGAGTCCAGCGACATAGCCATTACGCCAACTACTGGTCCCAAATAACTCTGTTTTTTTACATGCTCTTACTTGGCAGGCTAGGGACATGGTATCTGAATTGGGATCTTTAGTCTTTAGACCCTTCCTGTCTCAGAGAAGCAAACCTTTGAGTCTAGTCTGCTGGAAAAGCCTTCGGAAACCTCAGGACATTGGGTTTGGGTTTTGGGAGAGAGATGAGGAATGAGATTCCCCCAAACCTCCAGGAAGCCCAGTGGCTTGAGGTTTTTTAAAACCATAGAGAAGGGTCTATCTGACCCTGCCTGGGACTACTTTTCAAGCTCCTGAGAATATGGTTGCTGAGTACATGGAAACAAACTGGAGCGAGGATTACTGGAGGAAAGCGCATCTTGAGAAAACAGGATCAGATGCACTTTTCCATGGTAGGGTGCTGTCTAGTCTTTTAAAGAACCCTTGAGTAAGGGGAGCGGAGGATGTCTTTAAAAAAGCAACGGCACGGGCTAGCTCCATAGCACAGTGGTTAAGGGAGCCTGATCCCACGTGGCTTACCACAGTTGGCACCCCAGTCATAGCCCTGGTGCCTAAAAACGTGCCTGAAGCATATGGATGTGTGCTCCAATCCAAACGGGATGGGGAAATGGAGAAGGGACTGTGGAGTGACCAGGCTCCCCGGGGAAGTGCTTTCTCCCACTCTCTTGTCTCAATCCAGCAAGTACGTGCTCCCTCTGGGGGAAAAAAGAAGAGAAAGAAGACGAAGAAAGGAGAAGGAAGACGAGGAGGAAGGGAAGGAGGAGGATTGGGGGGGGCTGTGAAGTGGCCCTCAAAGATAAAGCTCTACCCTGCGGGGGGGCACTCACTCTGATCGTGGGGCCTGGCATTTGTACCCAGATGGAACATCCCTACGGCCAAAAGCCGGGGGGGTGGGGTCTCCCAAAGACTCTGTCCCCCTGGCCAGGGTCGCCTAGCTTACTCAATGTTGGGAAGGCCCAGCAATCGTCTGACCTATAACTGGGTCCCATTAGCCCCCAGGGCAGGGTCTGGAGCAAGGATGGTCCCTGAGCCCTTCCTAAGAGATGCTTCTTCCTCCCCACTTTCAGATTTTCCAGGTCAGTACTAGGTGCTTCTGACCTGTACATCATCAGTCTATTGTGAGTTGTGCTAGTGTAACTCTGTCTCTCAGGCTCTGGTCAATTTTGGGAAAAGAGGAAAGACCGAGGGCCTGGGCTGTGGGGAGAACCATGTGGCCCTATCCAGTGGCCACAGCCATGTACATCCTCATCTTGCCTACACTGTGGTCACATTCCCAGTCTGTCTGGTCTCAGCTTTCATTCTCTAGCTTTAGAAACACAAATAACAATGTTAAGTGTCAATCTCAGATAATACAGAGAAGCAAAAATAAGAAAAAAAAATCACCCACATTCTTACCATCCAGAGATAACCAGGATTGACATTACTTCCAGCATTAAAATAATATAAAGCAACAATTTTAAAAAAGCCATCAATAAACCTTTCCTCAAAGGGTCTTTTTTTCTTTTTTCTTTCTTTCTTTCTTTCTTTCTTTCTTTCTTTCTTTCTTTCTTTCTTTCTTTCTTTCTTTTTTTTTGTAGAGGTTTTTGCTATATGGCAAAGACAGAGAGAGACAGAGAGACAGAAAGCGAGAGAGCACCCCCTGGGAGGGGGATGGCCATGCCATAATCCTTTCTCCTCCGTTCTCCTCTCGGGATCTTGGGCGTGCACGCACACACGCCTGGCATGAGTTTAAGCCACTGGGCCTTGGACTCAAACTGTGGTCGACTACCTGGGAGTCCAGTGACATAGCCATTATGCCAACTACTGATCTCCAAAGGGTCTTATTTTAACAGTCTGAATACTTCTTTTGTGGTTCTCCTGAGTCTCCAGGTCCCTCCTACTTCATGAAGTTCGGCACTAGACACAAAGTCCCGGAAGAGCTCCGGTCAGCATAAGCAGAGTTCTCACGCTCCTCCTGGGTTTGACTCTCTCCACTATGACACTTCTGGGAATGCCTCGCAGGACCAAGCTTACCTTGGGAGCTCATATTCAGCTTGGGGTGCTCTATGACGTCCCAAGATCCATGCCCCCAACAGAGTCTCCAGTGCACATCTGCCTGGAACCCCCAACTAGAGCACAGTCTGTAAGGCACAAGCCCTCCAGGTACCCACCTACCTGGTAATCCATGGGCCGCCCGGCACTTGGCTCCATCTTAATGTCTGGCTTAGATCTGAGGAGGAGAATGTACCATCAGGCCAGGGTAAGCAGCTGCTTGGGGGGGAGAAGGGCACTGGTTGTGGTTAGGCCTTGGAGAAGGGCAGAAGGATGAAACTGAAACACTCAAGGACCACCCAATAGAATGGGAAGCAGTAGTTCTTAGAAGCCCCAACAGACAGGACTAGCCTAAAGCAGAAGTACCAGAGCGACTGACATTAGATCGACAGGCTCAAACATGGCTGGGCAGCCCTGTGGCTTCCCTAGACCTGGCAGTGTTCCGTGACCCGAGAATAGGCCTGCAGCTGGGAGAGAGATGAGAGCAATATCCGAGGAACTGAAGAGAGGGCCAGGTTAGGACAAAGGTGTCCATGGGTCGTGACTCTTCCCTACCCAAACTCCAAACATGGTGAGCTGGGTCCTGCCCAAGAGGGTGGAGGCAGGGGGGTGATGTGGGGCTTGTGTACTCACCGCTTGTTGGAGACATTGGTGGTGAGAGCGGTGACGGAGGCTAGAGACACCGAGTCGGGATCCAGGCCATCCCCCAGCCGCATGGTCAGGTGGTCCAAGTCCTCCATCTCCAGCACTGCGGGTTCATCTGGGGAAGAAGGAGCCGGGTGAGGCGGGTGGGCGGTGTGCAGCGACTGTGTTTCCCCTTTCACTCTGGCATCAGAAACTTGAGAGCGAAGTTCAAGGTTTACTGGGTAACGTGTGTTTAGGATGTTATGGTCTGTGTATCTACAGTGTTTTCGACTTAATCTCAGTTTTGGGTTGTACTTGATACTCTGTCTGGTCTCGATTTTTTAAATTTGTAGTTGAATGTAACTGTAATCGAGTGAGTGCTATTTATTTAAGTACTGAATATCCTTTGAGAAGTAGGGAATTCCTTTGAGAATGAGGGATCCAAACCTACCTACATCCTGTGGCAAGAGCTATCATTTATCGAGTGGCTACTCTGTGTCCAGCACAATGCCAGTCACTTTACACATGTATTTCTAGTCTTTATTACCATGACCTGCCAAGAGAGAAGTAAACCTATCTATATAAAAATAGTGGATGGAATTCAAAATTTAACCCTGCACTGGTGTGCACTGATCCAATGAGGTGAAGAAATGATTTTGAGAACCTGCCCAGAGATGGTGGGATTGGGCCTCAACCCACAGCCACACTCTCTCAGTCTAAGAGGAGAAGAACACAGTTGGAATTGGTAGAGGGCAAAAGGAAAGGAGAGATTCTAGGGGACAGTGGGCCACATAGGGGTGCTGGGAGGACAGTTAGGAGCCTGAAGTGGGTGTGCGGTGGGGCAGAAGCCTACACGGCTCCCCATCCACTCCACTTCTCCCTTGTCTTCCGCTTGTCCTAGCTCCTTTTGGAAAAAAAAAGTTATCTAATTTTATGTATTATTATCTTTTAGTTTACTATAGGGCATGTGCGCTCACCGTAGAGAGGGAGAGGGGAAGGGAGGAAGCAAGCACCAGGCTTAGAACTCAAACCGTGGTCTTCCATCTGAGAGTTCAGTGCCTTAACCACCACGCCACCTGCTGGTACTCCCTGCATCCTCGTAAACGCTGTCATGCCTACTCCCCAGCTGCCAGCTCCAATGCCACAGGCCTCTCCAGCCTCCCAGGCCCAGCCTGCCCCTCTCCCGAGCCCACGGAGCCTTCCCTGGGCCTGGGAAGAGGCCTAGGGGAGGGCCAGGAGAGAGTCCGGCCCCTGAGCCCGCGCTCTTGCACTTAATTTCCCCTAGAAACAGAGAATCTGCCAAACGTCTTGCTATTCCCCCTTCCAGTGAAAAACCTTCGGCTTCTGTGTGAAGAATAAAGAAGGCGGAGCAAGGGAGGTGGCAGGGCGCACAGAGATCCCCGCTCACACTGAGACCACCGAGCCGTCCTCCCACCCTCCGCCTCTCGGGCGCCCCCACCGGACAGGACCGCGATTCCCGGGCGGGACCGGACTCCTCGGTCAGCCAATGGGAAGCCAGGCCCCGCCCAGGTGGCTCTGGCCGGCCAATCCTGGGAGGGCCTGTTTGGGACCTGCCAGGGAGAGCGTCGCGACCGGCAGACAGAGCCCTGGCAGGGCCGCGTGCGGTACCTGGTCTCTGCGTCTCCTCCTTGTGGGGCCGGTTCTTGCCGAGCTTCATGGCGGAGAAGACGCTCCTCCCGGCTCTGTGAGGAGGGCCGCCAGAGGGGTGGACCGAGACGGGCGCGTGGGGAAACACAAACAGAAGGGACGAACACGGGAGAACCCATCAGAGAACCAGCTGGAGATACCCTGGCCCCTCAGCCTCAGTCCCAGGATTTAGTGGGGTCTGACTTCTTGCACTGGGAGCCATGAGGGCGTTAGGGCAGAAGGAAACCCCACCACTTCCTCCTTCCCTATCCCTTCACACCACTGAGGGGGTTGGGACCCCAGCGAACAGGGAAGGTGGCCTTGAGTGGAAGAGCCCTTTAAGTGGAGCGCCTCCGGGTCTTAGACGGTTCAGCCTGATCCCAGCCCCCGACCAGCTCCTCAGAGCTTGGGGCTCTTCCTGTGTACCCAAGATCATCTCCCACCCCACCCCATCCTTCACCCCTGGGACGAGGTTGGAAAGAAACCCTGACGACCCACGGAAACAGAGATCAGAACAGAAAGGCAGGGATCGGAGGGGATCGGAGGGTCAGAGGCCCCAGCCAAGTTTGGCGATAAGGTCGGATATAGCTGTTCAGTTCTCAGATGGCCCTCGGCGCAAAGCCTGCCTTGTCCTTTTCCAGCCTCTCCATGTCCTGGGAGGATCTTTGGTCCTCAACAAAAAGGAGGAGATGGGCCCTTTCCCTTCTGTCTTTGGTCCTGGCTTGTGCCCAGCTGTCCCTTCTCACTGTGGAATCCCCCTTCCCCTAACCCCCAGGAACATGGTGGACTCCATGGTTCCTACCTCTTCCTCTGGCTTGGTGTGGCTTTGTTTCCCCTGGTGATGGGCCTTGCAGTCAGAGGGGTTGAGGGACAGGGACAGGGGTCCTCACTGCCCTTCAGTGATGTCCCTGCAGCCGAGCCTGTGGTCCCTGGCTCCAGGAGGGACCAGGAGTCGGATCAGCAGGCGGTAAAGTGCAGTATTCCATTACCCCATCCATATTGCATGAGCAGGATACCTGACTCCCTTTGCTTCCCATTCTCCCTCCTCCTGGGTGTGGCTCTGTCATCCTGGAGGCTCAGGTGGGACAAGGCTCAGGGCACCGATGGCAGAACCCACCCACTCTGGGTCATGCATCTCCCTGTGGAGGCTTGATGATGACTTCTAAGATGCAGCTCTCTGCCCTTTAGGCTGGGTAAGGTGAGGTTGGGCAAACCTTTCTGTCTTTGTAGAGATGGCCTTGAAACCTCAAGCCCCTCTACTCAGAGTTGGGAGCCAACCTGATTCCCAAACCTGGTCTTATCCTAACCCCAGACCTCTTCTCTACTGTCCACATGCAGGACAGGGCATGTCTGTCTCCCAGCAAGGGGACGATAGAGAACTGCGCTTTCACGTGGCACCAGCTCACTATCATGTTCACGAATCCTGCAAAAGGATGGCAGAAGTCTGCATCTGTCCTCTCCAAGATCATGTTGTTTGGACATAATGATGGGAGGAAAAGGGAATAAAGGGGTTTGTAAAGAGGAAGACTGGGGCCAGCTGTCATGCAGCAGTTAAGTGTGTGCAGAGGGAGGTGGATCCCATATGGCTGACCAGGGTTTGAGTCCCGGTTCCAGTCGCATGTAAAAACCGTGTGCAAGATCCTGATAGGATGGAGAATTGAAGGAAGATTGCAGCATTCTGCATGTCTGCTCATGCTAGATTCCTAGCAATCTCGGGAGGGACATATGATTCTGGTCACTAGACCAGTGAAAGAACTGAGGCTCAGAGAGGTGAGAATAATCTCAAGGCCACACAGTCAGTGCAGAAGGGGCATCTAAGCACGGAGATCCTGTCTCCCAGGTCATCGATATGTCTGCTCTGCCTTGGCTCCTGTGCCCGATGCTGTGGGGCTGCACTTCTGTGAGTGTGAATCCCATCCTGACCAGTTGGAGCTTTGGCTGAGGGTGTGTACTAGGTACGGAGGTGGTCCGTGTGCCAGTGTGATCTGCAGACAAGGACGTCATCTGCCCGGGTTGACCGAGAAGGGGCTCATTCAAAAATAATGTAAGCATGAATGCATCTGGGAAGCATCAACACTGCCGTGAATGTTAAGTTGTTGGTGACATAACGTCGAACAGGTCAATGAATCCATTAGAAACAATCATGTGGCACCAGCAGGTGGCGTGGTGATTAAGGTCGCTGGATCCTACATGGCCGACTTCAAGGTTTGAGTCCTGAACCTGGTGGCTTGAAAAACATGCCAGGCACATGTGCGTGTATGCCCTAAACCTCGAGAGGAAAATGGAGGAGAAGGGACTGCAGCATGGCCTTCCCCCTCCGAGGGGTGGTTTCTCATTTTCCCTCTCTCTTTCTCTGTCTCTCTGGTGAGCACACATCATTTGAGAGTGGGAGAGGAGCCGTCCTGGCTGGCAGACACTAAAGCATCCGGTGGGATTTCTCCTGGCCTCCCCTGTGGCCCTAAGGGTAGGGCTGTAGGCCATACTCCGTCCCTGTAATAGGCCCAGCCCTAGGAAGCCTGGTGAGTATAGGCCACCGGCTCCTTCCCTCCAGTGTCTGGGATTCCTTTCTGCCCAGACTCTATCCGACTATGTCTCTCCTCCATTACCCAGGGGTCTCCTGGAGCGCTCAGCATTCGACTTCGCACAATCACTTCTTGACCACTTTTGGGCTGTGCCATTCTTAGAGCCCCAAGCCCTATTCCATGTGTGACCTACCCACGGCCATCACAGCACACTCCAGCCACAAGCCCAGCCCCTTCCCCCAAGGGAAGTGACCTGAGATGACAGGTCAGAGTGGTATGTCTGGTCAGAAACAGGTCCTGCCTGGAGAAGGTCAGCACCCCAAGACGGGATCTGGCCCTGCTGCTGAGGCCCAGAGGGAGTGCCAGGTAGCAGGAAATTGTGGCTCTCTGACACAGATTCCGCAGGCCCACCCAAGTGGAAAAGGGTCTGGGCATCCCGTGGGAAGTTATGGGCCTTGAAGTTTAAAGTCATTTTATTTATATATTTTCTTCGGGGGGAAGGGAGAGGTTTTTTTTTTTTTTTTTTTTTTTTGCTATAGGGCGCATGTGCTCACCAGAAAGACAGAGAGAGACAGAGAGACATAAAGGGAGAAATCACCCCCCAGGAGTATGGCTACTCCGTAATCCCTTCTCCTCCATTCTCCTCCCGGGATACGCACATACCCGGTGCGAGTTTAAGCCACCAGGTCCGGGACTCAAATTGCTATCAACCACATGGGAGTCCAGCAACATAGCCATTACGCCAACTGCTGGTCCCAAAAGTCACTTTATTTCTTAAAACAGGAATATTTGGAAGTAAACATTAAGATTATTTTAAAATAAAGAAACTAAGCGTGGGACCAGCAGATGGCATAATTGTTATATCATTGGACTCCCATGTGGTCAACCATGGTTTGAGTCCCAGACCCGGCGGCTTAAAGCTCACGCTGGGCACATGCGCATGCATGCCCAAAATCCTGAGAGGAGAATGGAGAGATTGTGGTCTGGTCATTCTCCCTGCAGGGTGACTTCTTGTTTTCTGTCTCTTGTCTCTCTCTGGCAAGCACACATGCCCTGTAACAAAAATCTCTCTCTAAAAAACCTGAATTTAGCAGGAAAAATAGACAATTAACAAATAATTATAATTTAACTAATTAAATATATTTGTGATCATTATAATTAGCAAAAATATGATGCAGAAGTGAAAATGTCCAGTTTAACACATTATAGTTAAATTACATTTTTTAAGCCAAAGCCAGCACTACTAGAGATGAATTTAAGTTCCAAATACTTCTGAATAAAATGATATCTTGTGAGAAATAATTAAAATAAAACCATGCTTGATTGCTTTTTATTGTGGTCCAAAAGTAACTTCAATTGACTTTATTCATACTATTAACACCCATGATCTTTCTTCCAAAGTTTCTTTCCGGTAGTATATTTGGTATCAAAGGGACAAAGGTCTTTGTCTTGTGTCCATTCCTATATTCTGATCATTTATTGATGAACATTATTCTCCTAATCACCAATTCTTAACTACTAATAACTCTGTTAATCAAGGTTAGCAATCCTTCTTGATATACTAAAACTATCATTCTTCCCGTCTCTGAGGAGGGATAGTGACAACTCAAGCATAGATATATAAATGCTCCTTAACTATTCAATCTTTTTTTTTCCTTGAAGAGTTGTTTTTTTTTGTTTGTTTGTTTTTTTGTTTTTTTTTGTTTTTTTTTTTTGCTATAGGGCGCATGTGCTCACCAGAAAGACAGAGAGAGACAGAGAGACATAAAGGGAGAAATCACCCCCCAGGAGTATGGCTACTCCGTAATCCCTTCTCCTCCATTCTCCTCCCGGGATACGCACATACCCGGTGCGAGTTTAAGCCACCAGGTCCGGGACTCAAATTGCTATCAACCACATGGGAGTCCAGCAACATAGCCATTACGCCAACTGCTGGTCCCAAAAGTCACTTTATTTCTTAAAACAGGAATATTTGGAAGTAAACATTAAGATTATTTTAAAATAAAGAAACTAAGCGTGGGACCAGCAGATGGCATAATTGTTATATCATTGGACTCCCATGTGGTCAACCATGGTTTGAGTCCCAGACCCGGCGGCTTAAAGCTCACGCTGGGCACATGCGCATGCATGCCCAAAATCCTGAGAGGAGAATGGAGAGATTGTGGTCTGGTCATTCTCCCTGCAGGGTGACTTCTTGTTTTCTGTCTCTTGTCTCTCTCTGGCAAGCACACATGCCCTGTAACAAAAATCTCTCTCTAAAAAACCTGAATTTACCGTTGCTATCCAACCCTGAAACAAGTCCAAGGGGAAACCGCGCTCGGCTGTAATTTAACCATCTGAAGCAGGCAGGCTTACTGGTATGCCCGTGTGTCTGGGCCATCTCAGAATGGTGAGCTTGTCCCTTTATGAACATGCAGACACGTGCAGGGATTGACATAATTTCCAGAATTCTCGCTACAATCTCTGGGCCTGCGTGTCTCTCCTAGACTTGCTCTGCAGCTCCTCTGAGCTCTGGGGAGTTGAGCATGATGTCATCGCTACCCTGGCCTTTGCAGTTTTCTCATCGATGACACATCCGAAGTTCACTGGAGAGGAAGCCTTTTCTGCCTTCTTTCAGTATCTGTTCCCGTAAAGGGGCGTGCCTGCTTCTCTAGATAAAGGGTAATGGGGATCTTTGCAATGAATGTTGACTTAATCAGGGGATTTGGAAAATTACTCACAGTATTAAAGACTTCTATTTCAAAAATGCAATTCATTGAGTAGGTTTCTGCTGTACTATTTTTGAAATAAAAGTCTGCATTTGGTCTGGTTGCGTTTTACAATGACTAAGGACAGGATATGGTGGGAAACAGAACAAGCCAATAATCAACTTAGCAAAAAATAACTTTTTTATAGCCAACTGGCTCCTTATTCATAGGTGGATAAAGCAGGAGCCAAGAAGAGGCCTTGGGGTTCTCTGAGGATTTAGAATCCCATTTGAGTTCTCTGTTACTGAATTCACCGTGGTCACAATGACATGCACCGACAATCTCGGCTGATGTCTCTCTCTCTCTTTTTACATTTTGCTAGAGAGTCTTTGAGCTCACTGGAGAGAGACAGAGAGAAAATGAGATAGAGAAGGGAAAGTGAGAAAGCACCCCCCTGGGGAATGGTCATACTGCAAACTATTGTTCCCCATTTCTCCCTTCTCTCAGCATTTGGGCACACACATGCACATGTTTTGCAAGCTGCCAGGTCTGGGAGTTGACCCATGCCGTCGGCCATGTGGGATCCAGCTGCTTTAACCACCATACCATGGGCTGGCCCTGGAATGGTATTTCTTTCTAGGAAAGATTTGAAAATTAATTTACTCATTCATGGTAAACTCTTAATTTATGTATCTGATGGTTTCTTCGTGGCTCTGTGCTTAGACATAGAAGCACATCTTTGTGTCTGTCCTGGGGGAAGGCTTAGTATTCACGACTTAGGAACAACTACCAAACTGGACTTAGTGACCCGAGTGTTCCATTGACTCAGGTCCACGTACTATTCTGGAAGCTGTGGCTTACAGGGTGTTCTGCCCATGGACTGCCACCTGTGCCCACTTGCTGCCAAGAGCTCCTGCCCTCTCACTGATTTCAACTGGAACCGTCTAGGCTCACTAGCTCAGGCCTCAGATAATCAGGATAAACAAACCCCTGTGTAAGAGAAATGGTCTGTGGTCCTTCTTTGCATTGTTTAAACAGCCAGATTTTCAAAAATTGGGCGTTTATTTGATTTCCCTTGCCCAAGTACAGGGCACTTCATAACTGGAGCCTTTCCAGATGTCTTTGAAAGTGTGTTGAATTTTAGTTAATTTTGAATAGTTTCCCACATGTGGGCAGGATAAGGTTGGCCCTTTGTATAAGAATAACCCCCATCTAGGGGCCAGCAGGTAGTGTGATGTTAAGACAGCTGGATCCCATATGGCTGACTATGGTTCAAGTCCTGGACCTGGCAGCTTGAAAATCATACCAGGTGCATGTGTGTGCATGCCCCAAATCGCAGAAGAATGGAGGGGAAAGATTGCGGTGTGGCCATCTTCTCTGGGGGGCAATGTCTTGCTTTCCCTTTTCCTGTCTTTCTCTGTCTCTCTCAGGCAAGTGCCCATGACTTCTGGCAAAAAAAATACCAAATAAATAAAGAAAGAATCACCCCTATCTCCAAGCTGACACACGTGGACACGTGGCCGAATTATATCGGGAGACTTAGGGGTCCACACGTACCTATCTGGACCCCAGGGCTGCCATGGGAGCCAGCCCTGTTATCCCTGGTGACTCAGCCTTTAACAAGGCTCAGATGAACAGTACGGGGGACATGTAATTGTCATCTCCCCAGACCAGCAATCCCAGAAGCTCACCGGATACTCAAGGGGCACAGGAGTTCTTTCATGGATTCAATCTTATATTTTCCCTCTTGCAATTTAACTCTGTTTCCATTGTTTTCTCCTCAGCAGAGAGAGAACTAACCAGCCTTGCCGCATAACAACCTTTCAGAGGTCGAACACTTTCTCCAAGGTTTTCTCTTCTCCAGGCTAAACAGTTTCCATGTGTTTCATCTCTCTTTAGAAATCCTGGTTTCCTACTCTTTCAATAGTCCTAGTGCTTCTCTCTCTCTCTCTCTCTCTCTCTCTCTCTCTCTTTTTTTTGAGACATTTTTTGCTATAGGATGTATGCTCTTGCCAAAGAGACAGACACAGACAGACAGGAAGCAAGAAATCACTCCCCTGGGGGGATGGCCACAGTGCAATCTCCCTCCCTCCATTCTCCTCTTGAGATTTTGGGCTTGCAGGCACCTGTGCCCGACATGAGTTTTAAGCCTCTGGGCCCAGGACTTGAACTGCAGTCAACCACATGAGAGTCCAGAGCCTGTAACCACTGTGCCACCTGCTACCTGCTGTTCTCTCTCTCTCTCTCTCTCTCTATCTATCTATATATATATAGTTATTTGGAAAGTCATGACGTATTTTTCTCTTTCTGTGCCAAAGTGCTTCATGAGTTTCCCGACAACCCAATACATATGTAATTCATTTTAACCTTCTGTGTTAATTGAAAATGGTGAGACATTAGAATGAGGCAGGGCTAGGGCACCAGCCTTGGGCCTTCTGTGTGCTTGCACTGCCAAGTACCTCTTGCTCCGGCTATGGCCGGACAAAGGGATCAGGCCAGTCTGAGTCCCTGCGGGTCCAGCCAGGGCCAGACTGGGGAGCTGGCCACCGGGAAGGGCCTTCGAGCACAGCCAGTCTCAGACGGAGAGGCAGGGCAAGGGCCAGCTGTCCGTGTCTCACATGCCCGCCTTTTACTTTAAGCGTCCATGGGTGAAGCTAATCCCTTGAACCCTGTCCCTGAGAGGACACCAGCTCAGTGTCCTCCGTCACGTCCCACTCACCCCAGGATTTGGCTCCCTGGTCCCCCTTCCAGGCCTTGACACTCTTCCTGCCTGAGGCTCCTGCCCTTGCTCACAGCATGACAGACTCCTGCACCTCAGGCCCCAGGGTCAGAGTCTCCACCTGATACCATTTCCTCCATCACCACAGCGCTAACGCCTCGTTGCCTTTTTCTTGTGCGTAACAAGTGTGAGCTGGATTCAAAGTGCTTTTGTGAAAGCAGTGAGCCAGGCTCTGCGTTCCTGGGGATCCTGACTGAATAGAAACCCTGGTCCACATCAGTGCCTGTCAGCCCAAACCCCAATTCACTCTACCGTGGTGTTTCCATGTTATCCCCGTCTTTTTTTTTTTTTTTTTTTTTCTTTAGTGTTTTGGTATAGGGCACATATGCTCACCAGAGAGAGACAGAGAGGGAGAGAGAAGGAGAGTGAGAAATTATCCCCGGAGGGATGGCCACACCGCAGTTCTTTCTCCTCCAGTCTTCTCTCGGGATTTTGGGCATGTACTCACACATGCCTGGTGTGATTTCCAAGCTGCTGGGCCTGGGGCTTGAACAGCACAATTGGCCATGTGGGATCCAGTGCCTTAACCTCCACACACCTGCTGGCTCCCATGTAAGAACTAATTTTTGATGTATTGGGGCCACACAGTTTTGAGCAAATCTCTTAACATCTCTGGGGCCGGGTTTCACTGCTGGAAAAGAGAGGCTGCACTTCCGGCTTTCCAGCTCTCTAGAACATTTGGAGAACAAAATCCCAAGGCCAGCAGCGCTACACCTGCCGGGTCTCCTGTGCACACGGAGGGGAAGGCAGAGTCTCTAATTTCAGCCCGGCGTTGCCTCTCTTCCGGGAGGGGCAAGTGACTTCCCCTCTATGGGACTCAGGTTTGTCATCTGTAGGAAAGGGGCAGGCCAGGGGCCCCTCCAGGGAGGTCAGCCTGGCTATTAGTGCATTGTGAAGTTCCCTGTGTCACTAGAGTCCTCCAGATGGGCTTTGGAGGGAGCTTATGGGACTCATCTGAACCCCAGGCCTCTAGCCCTTCCAGCCCCTGTGGAGCCCTCTCTTTCTCTCCTCTCCTAGACAGCATCTCTGATCTCTGACCTCTCCCTGTTCAAGAAAGACTTCTGGGGAAGACTGAGGGCCACAGAGAGCGGCCACCTCTCCCAAGCTTTCTGGGCCCCCATGCCCTGCCCTGCAGCTACCAAGTGCCCAGCACTTGTCCCCTGTGGATCTCCAGGACCGTGTGTCCAGCTGCCTGGCCCCGCCCTGACTCTGGAGTATGGGGGGGACAGCCCCACTGGCTTGGTACACCTCCCTCCTCTCTTTCCTTCCCTCACAGGGAAGCCTGAGGACCACTGAGGTGGGGAGCGGACAGGGCAGTAGAGGAAGAACAAGATGCCAAAGGGAGGAAGGGTCAGCCGAGAGCTGAGTGGGAGAACCGGAAGCCCCAGCCACCAGCCCAACCCCCACCCAACCCTTCCCTGCCCTTGACCCCCCATGGTCAGAGGAGACCTCCTCACTCTGCATGCCCCTGCTGGTTCCACCAGGACTCTCCTGTGCCCTGCACACAGGCCCACCCGCCCTCTGCAGCCCTGTGGGGGCCTTCTGCCCTCCGGCTCTGCCCTGGCTGGGACACCTACTTGTGCTCGCCATCTCTGCCTCCCTTGGTCTTCTCTCTGCCTTTGCTGAGCAGGGGGAAGAAATGAGGAGACAAGGGGACGTGTGTGAGGGGTGTGGACCAGAGACGCTGGAGCCTCAGCCCGGGTCATGTGGACGCCTAGCTCCCCAGGGGCTCCTGTTCCCCAGATCCTTATCCACAGTCTCTCCTGTAGCAGGCCCAAGTCTGCTGGGCTGGGATCTGGCGGTCACAGGCTCTAACTGGGGAGAGGGCAGTGGCTCACAGGAGTGGGGCTGGCTGGTCACCATCCCAGCCCCAAACCTGGTGAGGGAGGCTCAGGGTATTAGCCAACCTCTTCCAACCCCAGGCCGAGACCCAGGGATCCTGAGTGTGGAATGCAGGTTCCTTAAGGGACGCAAAGTTGGACGAGCCAAGCTAGCCTCCAGGTCTGGGCCACTCAGCCACCCCCTCCTTCCTGTATCCCTCCACAGGAGCTCTGAGGCCTCATGCTGCTGAGGGGGCTTGCAGACTCCAAGAAGGAAGGGGTTGGACGAGCCAAGCCAGCCTCCAGGTCTGGGCCACTCAGCCACCCCCTCCTTCCTGTACCCCTCTGAGGCCTCTGGGGGGGGGCATGGTGGACTGGGCATGCTGCTGAGGGGCTTGCAGACTCTGAGAAGGAAGGGGACCGGGAGGTTCGGGGGCGGGGCGGGCAGTAAGTGAGCTGGGGGAAAGGTGCTCCCGCCTGTCCTTAGGGAGGCTTCTGGAAGACCTCTGCAACGTCCCCCCAAGGGTTCCCGGACGCTGTGGCGATGAGGATGAGGAAAGAAAGCAGGTAGCAGGAAGTTTCCCTCTCCCCCCCACACTGCCCTGGCAGATCTTGCCTAGGTAACGTGACTCATATCCCGACGCTCAGGGCCCAAAGGCCTGCGCACCCCACAGCTGAAGTCTGCAAAGCTAACGTCTACGTTAGACAGGAGGTCACTTTGTAACCTGGAGGAGTTAACTGGGTATCGGCCGCCAGAGCCAATTAAGACCACGGAGCAGAAAAAGGCTCACTTTGGAGAAGGGGAGATTGGGTCTCAGCAGCCCCAAGTCCCAGCATGGCTGGCAGGAGCTTCTGCACCTCTGAATCCTGATGAAGGAGGAAGGGAAGAACTTTCCAGCTCTCTGGGGCTGTGGGAACGGACTCTGGGGTAAGTTGGGTATATTGAACCCATACATGCATGCTTAGGGACATGCCCAGCTCCCACCTTGCCCACCTCTCTCTCAGAGCCCCTGACCATGGACACATGCCTGTCATTCCACTGGCCCAGGCTCAGGAGGGAGGTACCTGCTTCCATAGGCCTCCATTGGAGTGGAAGATGATTCATGTGGTGAACAGAGAAGTGGCCGCTGCCTCTACTTCCCCCCAGATGAGACTGTGGGAACGGACTCTGGGGTAAGTTGGGTATATTGAACCCATACATGCATGCTTAGGGACATGCCCAGCTCCCACCTTGCCCACCTCTCTCTCAGAGCCCCTGACCATGGACACATGCCTGTCATTCCACTGGCCCAGGCTCAGGAGGGAGGTACCTGCTTCCATAGGCCTCCATTGGAGTGGAAGATGATTCATGTGGTGAACAGAGAAGTGGCCCCTGCCTCTACTTCCCCCCAGATGAGACTCAGCAGAGAGGAGCCCAGAAAGAATCGCCACACTCCCGGGGACACAGGGAGGAGGGGGTTGGGTAGCAGAAGTGGGTGGGGGCCCGGGGGGTGGGAGGCTCAGGCCAGGTGGGGAAAACGAAAAGGAGAGAGAGTCGCAGCATATGGGGAATCCAGAGGACAGGCCTAAGTTTCCACAGAGCAGCTGTGAGAACAAAGCCGGGGGTCCCCGCTATTTCTAAGCTGGGGCTCCCAGAGACGACATCCACTGCAGAGCCTAGAGCCAGTGGTGTTTGCAGAGGATGTGTGTGCATGCGAGTGTGTGCAAACACATGGTACTCGTGTATATGTGTGCGTGTGTGTTAAGGGCTGGAATCTCCTCTCTGCAGAGCCTGGGGCAGTTGTAAGCTGACATCACATGGCCTGGAACTTGTGCTCCTGAACGCAGTGTCCAAGTGAGTAGTAATTCACTTTTTCTCAGCACCAGAAACAGCCTGGAGGGGAGAGGTAACTCCTGATACGGGGTCAGCACTCTATCCCCTGCAGCAGACAGCCTCTCGTGGGGCTTCTGAGACCCCTGCTCCTGCCCCAGGGCGTGATGCTCTGTGTGGTCAGCATTTGCAGACCCCTTGGGATAGGTGGGAGCCAGAGCTCAGAGGAGCTTGGTTGGGAACAGTTCCTGAACCAAAAGGTCAGACATTGCAAAGGATAGGGAAAGTTGGATTTGGGGTACTTCGGAGTCTGTGAAGATAAAGGAGATGAACATTGGCTGAGAGTCGGCGGCAGGCCAGGCACCAGGGTGGGCGGCTCACATTGGATCCTGACACTCCTGGGAGGTAGGGGGCAGCAGCGAGCCCATCTCACAGAGGGGCACGGGCGGCTCCACAGAGCAGAGCGGGGACTTGAACCAGCGTTCTCCACTGCACCACCTGCCTGCAGGGATGTTCTGCAGAGAGCTGAAGAAACCAGGGGGCCCTGGTTGGGGGCAGGAACTAGAGGAGCAGCAGAGCATCTCGGAGGGCACATGGCTGAGCAGGGCCTAGGAGAGCTGGAGCTGAGGAAACAGGGAGCCGCTCAGGCAGAGCTACCAGCACGCATGTTCCCTGAGGAGGAAGGGGACTGCAGGGCAAGGACTTAGGGTTTCTTAGGGAGTGATGGGCTTAATAGGCGAGGCTCTACAGAGGCCCTGTCAGTGACCCTTAACAGGAGCTGAGGCTTAAGGTCTGCAAAGGCCCTTCTGGGCACCATCTGACCCCTGGTGAGGCCAGGATGGATGCAGTTGAAATCAAGGAGAAGCAGGCTGGGCAGGGTGAGGCTGGGATGAGGGGCTAGAGCCCTGCCAGAGTGGGCCCAGGCCCTACGGGGGGTGGCAGAGTGCCCAGAGGACCTCCCCAAGTTAGCTTTCACTACCATTCCCAGGAGGGCCCTGGGCCAGGCCTGCATAGGAGGGATGTCTCCCATGGTGCTCCCTACAGGACCCAGAGCAGCCCCTGGAGGTCAGAGCTGGAGGAGGCCAGGAGCTTAACCTGCGGGCCGATTCCTGCCACCGACCCAGAGGTGTCAGTGACGTGCCCCCAGACACACAGCTAGTGGGTGCACAGTGGGGATAGGGCTTCGCGGAAGCTGGCTTTCCTGACTCGGGGTGAGCACTCTCCCCTGCAGCAGACAGCCTCTCGTGGCTTCCAGGCTTGTTCTCAGGAGCCCCTTCTTAGAGCCCACCCGCAGTCTCCGAGCCTGCCCCTGCGGAGCTCTTTCCAGACTGGAGGTGGTGGTGGGAACCCACTCAGTCTCTGCTCCTCTCTTGTCATTTCACCTCCACTCCAGACCCTGTGCATGGTCCTCCTACAGTGGGCCTGTCTGTCACCAGCTTTTACATGGGTTACACTGGCACCTTAGTACACCCCATCCCTCTTCTCTGTCTGCCTCTTCTAACAGGGCAGGGGGCTTCACTGCTATGGTCCCCATTTTGTAGAGAGGGTCAGAGAGGTTGTGTGACTTACCAGGGGTCACACAGCTAGCATGGAGCAGCTGGGTCTTCTGCTAAAGCATGTGAAGTCTGAGAGGAACAGGCGCCTTGCTGGCCTGGCTAGGGCTGCCCTTCCCCATGGCTAGGCAGAAGCAGATGGTCCAGCCCTGTTTGCTCCAGGTAGTTGCTTAGACCTCACTGCTGTAACTCTCACTGTCTGGTTCCTAGGGTTCCTTAACTGTGTGTGTGTGTGTGTGTGTGTGTGTGTGTGTGTGTGTGTGTGTGTGTGTGTGTGTGTGTGTGTGTGTGTGTGTGTGTGTGTGTATGTGCACGTGCATATATGTGTGTGGTGGGAGGGAGCAAAGTGGTTCAAGTGCAAAGAAGGAAAACATATTTGCCCAATAAAAGTACAGCAGTTTGATTACTGGCTTAGCACCGTGTTTTTTCACTTACAGAGCCAGAGTACACCTTAGTGGGGAAGGAAAGGGTGGGCAGAGGGTAGAGGACGTTCCCATGGCACAGAGGACCCTTCCTCGGAAAACACATCGTTCAGATGCACGTGGGCTTACTGCATCTTATGCCTTATTTCCAGTGACCTCGGAACTTAGAGAAACGTTTTACTAGCCCAGCCCAGGTTCTGCCTTCTGGGCTCTAAGAGCAATACAATTACATTTCCTTTTTTTATTTTTTTTTAACGTAACGCCTGTGGGCATAGCCTCCTATGATCGTGTGTGGAAGGATACTGGCAGGGCATGAATCCTGGACACTAAGGTTCCTGCACACTGCTCTCAACAGAGGAGGCCGGATCCCAGCCAGGACCTGTGGTTTCACTCTGATTGGAAGAGGCTTCCCTCTCTTGGGCCTCTTCCCTGGGCCAGGGTGGATACCAGGCCTCCCCCAGCCCTCTTCTCCCATTCTCTGGGAGAAAGTCGACCCCCTTCCCCTCACAGTAGAGCTCAATCCCCAAGACCTTTGCTTTTCTTGAAATGGGGGAGACCTGGTCCCTCTGCATGGTGTGAGCCCCCTGCTGCCTCCCCAGTGAGCTCTGGGGGTGAGGCTGAGGTGGGGGGGTGCCACAGAAACGCAGCTGTATGTCTCTCCAGCAACTCAGCCTGTAGTCTGAGCACAGTCAGGCCTGCAAAGCCCCCAGGCCTCATCCCCAAATCTTTGGGGGCAGTGGGCAACCAGAAGGGCTCAGCCTGTTACCTCCGGAAACTCTTCTCGCCCGGTGGCCGGGAACTGGGACGGGAGCCAGGGAGGAGCCCGTCTGTCTCCTGGCTGTCCTTCTCTTCTTCCTGAAGAGACTCATCCCCCAGGAAGTCCCCGTCGTCCCAGGAGCCCACCGTGCCATCTGTGGTCTGATAACGGACCTCCACGCACAGGCTGGTCTGGGGGGAGAGACGGGGGTGGGGGTGAGCCCCGGGAGGCGGTGACAGTCGTAATCCCATATACAGAAGCTCCTCAGTTTACCACGGGGATACGTCCTGATGAGCCCCTCGTCGGTTGAAAATATCGTAAACTGAGAATTCATTTAATACGCCTAGCCCACTGAACATCGCAGCTTCGCCTAGCCTACCTTAAACGGCATCATCGAACGCAAAGGCTGTTTTATAATACAGAGCTGGACAGCTCACGCAGCTTACCAAATACTGGACTGAAGGTGAACGACAGGATGGCTGAGTGGTTTCTACTGAATCAGTATTATTTTGCACCACGGTAAAGCCGAAAATGCCCCAAGTGGACCTGTCATGAGATGGGGACTGCCTGTGTTCTGCTGCCCTGCGATGCTTACAAGTGTCTTCACGCACTTTCCTTACCGGAGGAAGGCCAGGTGGGTATTTACCCTGCCCTGGCCCATTCTGCAGCTAAGAAAATAGAGGCTCAGGAAGAAGACCCAGCTGACTCGGGGAGTCTGGCTCCAGACGCTGCTGCATTTGAGTCTCCTCCTGCCCGAGGTGGGGGCCTCCCTAGACAGCTGAACCTGGGACCGGGGGTGGGCTCTGCGAGTCCACTTTATATATAATCGAGAGTCTCATTCGCTGTCCCCAGTGATTAGGTCACCTCCTTATTCTCAGAACCAGGCTGCCCACAGGCGGGAGGGGTGGGCTGCCTGAAGTCGGCTGGTTAGAAATGTGAAGACACGAGCTGAGCATGCCCTCCGGAAGAGGAGCCCCGGCCCTGACCCCCTGCCGAGGTGTGGAGTCCACGGCTTCCTCCTCGTCCCACATACCCATCCCAGAGACAAAGGATCTTGGGTTTTTTCTCTGGGAGGAAGTAGAACACTAAACTTGGGTCCAGACTTAGCAATTAAAAATCCTGGTTGGGGGCCAGCAGGTGGCATGGTGGTTAAGGCACTAGACTCCCACATGACTGACTGTGGTTCAAGTCCCAGACCCAGCAGCTTAAAAATCACACCAGAGGTGTGCATGCATGCCCAAAATCTCGAGAGGAGAATGGAGAAGGGGGGTGATCCTCCTGGGGGGTGATTTCTCATTTTGTCTTTCTCTGTATCTCTCCAGAGAGCTCACACACCCTGTGGCAAAATTAAAAAAAAAAAAAAAAAAAGAGTCTTGGTTGGTCAGGGCTGGACAGTGGCAGCCTCCACGAGGCTGACCCACATGGGAAGACTCCGGGTTCCCATCGGGAGACCTCCCTGAGAACATCGGGCACACGCATGCTCATGAGCTGGGACTCACTCAGACTGCAGGTGGATCGTGGCCTCAAGACCCTGCTGGGAATGTTGTCTCTCTGTCTCTCCCACTCATGAAAGAAACACGTAAATACACTTAAGAAACAAAAAGAAGCCCGATGAGTTTCTTGCTCTGTGTCCTTGAGCCATGTCTGGGGGTGGCGTGCTTCTGTGTCCCAGGCATGCAGCTTTCACTCTGAGCTCGGGCTTCCAAAGGGAAGGGAAAGAAGCATGTACTTCCTGAACGCTCGCTGTGCTAGATGTCACGCTAAGACACTTAGTGTAAACTCATTGATCTCGACACTCAGCCTGTCCCACCTAACGAATCAACCATGAAGTGACTTGCTCAAGGACACAGTGAGGAGGTCGGGGTGAACCCAGGCAGGAGAACTCTGGGCCCCAGGTCCTTTCCACTGGGCCAGGGTGACCCTGCTGGTGTGACCAAGTACGACTAGCCCCCCATGTCCGTGGGTTCTGAATCCATGGATTTAACCAACTGCGGGTAGAAAATATTTGAAAAATTCCACAACATTCCAAAAAGTGGAACTTGAACTTGCCACACATGGAACACTATGCAATACCCTGTGGATGCAGTGACGTGCAGGCAGGGGATGCGGGGCTGGACGTACCCCGGAAAGGACCTGAAGTGTATGGGAGGGTGTGCCCCGATTATGTGCAAACGCTGTGCCGTTTATGGGGACTTGAGCATCGGTGGCCTGTGTGTGAGTGTGCGGGGGGAGGCTTTCCTGCAGCCAAGTCCCACAGATACTGAGGGACGACTGGATGATGTCGTGCCTAGAATTAGAAGCCTGGGTCTCAGAGCTGGATCTGCTGTTGACCAGCTCTTTGACCTTGGCCAAAGCTACTCCCATCTAGGACTTCAGTGTTCTATCCATTAAACAGGCGGCAGAGATAGGACCAGCAGTTACATTGCTGAACTCCCACATGCCCAACCTCGGTTCGATTCCTGGACTTGGTGGCTTGAAACTCATGCCAGGTGTGTGTGTGTGTGCATGCACAAGATCCCAGGAAGAGAATGGAGAAGGGATTGTGGCATGGCCATCTCCCTTGGGGAGTGATTTCTCATTTTCCCCCTCACTGTCTCTGTCTCTCTCTCCCCAGTGAGCGCATGCACCCTAAGGCAAAAACCTCTACCAAAAGAAAAACCCAAAAAAGCACAAACACACACACACACACACACACACACACACCAAAACCCAGGCAGCAGAGGCAGCTGGTGGGTGGGCTGGATGACTTGGGAGTCCCTGCCCAGTTAGATCTTCCCCTTCACTTCCCACACTATATTCTCTTCATCCGGACTCCATGTTCCTCTCCAAGCCCTCCATTCCCACTGATGTCTGTAGCTTGGTCTGCATCCCCTTGTCCCTGCTGTGGTGACTGAGAACTCCCTGACTTTAAGACCCTCCTGCCACCTCTGCTGATGAGAGAGAGAGAGAGCCCCTGGGGGCCAAGCTGAGAAGCCCCGAAGCTCTCATGTTCTCAGCAAGATGGTGCCTAAAGACATCAGGAAGTTGGGGTTTCTGCTCGTCTCTGGGCACTCCTCAGAGAGGGCTCCTTCCGCCTGGCTCTCCATGGCTGCAGTCCTGCTTCAGGGGCTGTTTCTGCTGGCTCCTACTTAGGGCCATATGCTATTCGGGACCCCAGTGGGTCCTTCCACCTCAGGCAAACTGAGGTCAGGAAATACTAGCCAACAGTATTATTGCTTGTATTTATGGAGCACTTACTATATACTTCACTATTCTATGCCCTGCCTGCGTGTTCTCATAGTCCTCAGGACAGTCCCGGGAGGTAGATACCACAATTTTCTCTCTTTGCAGTAGATACGCACTTGCCCAAGTCACACAGGGAGTGGGTAGCCTAAGCTAAAGCCCATGCTCCTCACCACCAGGCCAAGCTGCCATGAGCAGCTGTGGGGGAGCCCTGCGGGCCAATGAATCAGAGCAGAGCCGGGTCTGAGCATCCAGCCTGGCTTACTGCCTTCCTTTCTTGGAATTAAGTGTCCACCATTAGAGCATGTGTGCTCAGGTGGAGTGCTGGGATGTCGCAAATAGGGTATACAATGAGGTCCTTGCTCTAGAGAAGCTCGTCCTAGAGAGGAGCCGAGCCGGACGTGCAGAGGGAGGCCCACACCCTGGAGTGGCCAGCAGGGCTCAGGCTGGCCTCCTCAGTGATCCTGAGCCGGGTCCCAGTAGAAGGGCTGTTGGTGGAAAGGATGGCATTCCCCCAGCCTCCTTTCCCTGGGACCCTCATTGCAGGAAACTAGGGGTCCACTGTGGGATAGTGGACCCTGCCATGCTGCAGCAGACAGCAGGGCTGGCAGTGTGGCCTGGGCCTCCTCCTTGCATCTCACCTTGCCATGTTCTCTGTGGGGGAGAGGGAGGCGCAGTGGGCCCCCGAGGGCCCCACGATGGGAAAGTCCAGGGATTCTCTAGGACACACCCACCTTGATGATTGCATTGTTGTCATCAATCAGGGTGTCAGTCACCTCCACATGGTTGTCCTCCACCACCTTCTGCAGCACCATGCGGAAGGTCCCGACCAGCCTGCAAATGACAGAAGGCATGACAGTTTCACGGAAAAGGCCAAAGGCTGACACCCCAAGGGCCGTGACTGGTTGGGAGGAGACAGGTAGGCTTGCTCGGACTCCAGGCTGGGGCTGGAGAAGGTGGCCCAGGAGCCAGGGCTGGTCCTGACAGGATAGCAGGCCCATGAGGGTACACGGCCCCCTGCAGCTGTGTCTGGTGGTATCCGAGAGATCTATTTCCATGGGAGGAGCTTGGAGGGCCAGTGAGCACCCTGGGGGAGGGCCATAGATGTGGAGTCGGGGTATGTGGGGTCGGGCTTCCGCTGAGGGCTGCACAGCGGCTTCCAGATGCCCAGTGTGAGGCTGTTGGGAAGGGCTGAGGCTCCTGGATACAGATGGGGCTCCTCTCCCTTCTCCCTCCCTAACAGTGACCAAGGGCTCAACTCCTCACCAACAGCCCTCATCTGGTCGTCCTCTGGTTAGCCAGTGGTGATGCCCCGCCTGCAACCTGTATGCGGGGACTTTGGAAATTCCATGGAAAAATGGAATTTAAGTAGAAGTTTATTTTTGTGCAAAAAAAAAAAAAAAAAAGGAAAACTGTAGTCTGGTGGTATCCGAGAGATCTATTTCCATGGGAGGAGCTTGGAGGGCCAGTGAGCACCCTGGGGGAGGGCCATAGATGTGGAGTCGGGGTATGTGGGGTCGGGCTTCCGCTGAGGGCTGCACAGCGGCTTCCAGATGCCCAGTGTGAGGCTGTTGGGAAGGGCTGAGGCTCCTGGATACAGATGGGGCTCCTCTCCCTTCTCCCTCCCTAACAGTGACCAAGGGCTCAACTCCTCACCAACAGCCCTCATCTGGTCGTCCTCTGGTTAGCCAGTGGTGATGCCCCGCCTGCAACCTGTATGCGGGGACTTTGGAAATTCCATGGAAAAATGGAATTTAAGTAGAAGTTTTTTTTTGTGGAAAAAAAAAAAAAAAAAAGGAAAACTGTACATAGTTGTTTTTTAAAATAATCCCATTTCCCCGTGAACTTTCTGAAGACCCCTCTTATGTTCCTTGGCGGCCGCCTGATGGCAGGGTCCCCACACTCCCAGATGCGCAGTAAGGAAAGGCAGTGAGTGTTGTGGTTAAGGTCAGAGCCTTGGTTCCGAGAGAGAACTGCAGCTCAGCCTGACACCTAACCGCAGATTACCAGCTGGCTGGGCCACTCACTTCCGCGCTCGGTCTCGGTTTTCTCATACGATGAGCGAGTCACCTCTACTTCACAGAGTGGCTGTTTGAGGACTAACCAAGAGACTAAAGCCCTTCTCAGACTCCCTGGCATGTGGGACACTGTATTTTACACCACATTCCCAGTGGCCTAGGAGCTTAGGGACGGGGTCCGCCCTTGTGGGACCCCAGCCCCCTTACCCCCCAAGCCCCCTGCCAGTCCCAGAACAATGTTTTACTAGCCCAGCTCAGGTTCTCTTTCTCTAGGTTCTCAGAGCAATCGGTGGCGTTTCTTTCTCCTGTCACCTGGATGTGGCAGGACACCCGTG